GTGGGAGGAGTGGGAAGTGTAAGGGATGCCAGCCTGAGCTTGTGACAGGGAAGGACCTAGGTTGAAGTCTCATAATTTACTCTATTCTTATACATCATTTCCTTTTATTGGCTTCATTTCAAACACAACCATCCTTCTCTCAGCCACCCAGGCTTAAACTCTTCATATGTCTTTAATATTTATTTTCCTTTGCCTCAAGGAAAAATCAGATGTTTTCTTGAGTCAGATATTCTTTCCTTTGTTCTAACAAATGACCGAATTCTTGGTCTCTCTGCATTGATTACATTAAGTGGTACCTTTCCCCCTTATAGCTTTGTTGGCTTTATTTCGTTTGACATACTCCAATGGAGGCCTTTCTGGCATGCCAGGATTCAGTCTCGGTGTCACAGAAACAGACAAGATGAACATGGCTGCCACAGCGCCTGCCCCTGCTAGAGGAGAGAGGTGATGAACAAGTAGAGACCTTGAGGCATCACACAGGATGTCCTCTTCCTCACAGAGGAAGGACTCTTCTGGCCAAAGCCAAAAGGGATGGACAGAAATAATCTTGGTACAGGTGAAGCACGGGACTGCGCGAGGAACATCCATCCAAAGAGGCCACGTGTGCAAGGGTCTGCAGGCTCGGGTGGGAGCAAGATAATGGCACAGCAGAGATGAGTGGGATTCTGAGGTGCTGAGCCTTGCCAACCCTTTGAAAGAATTTTCATTTTCTCCTAAGAGTCTGAGAGCCACTGAAGTCCTAAGCAGGATGGCGATGTGAGCAGAAACTTTCCTACAGTTGTTTGGGGCCTGCGCTGAAAGCCATGGAATTAAACAAGGAAAAAGAGGAAATCTGTCTGCAGGATGAAGCACTCCAGCTTGTTCTCCCTTCCAATCAATCTTCCTGCCTTCGGTTTCATCCTGTTCTGTAGTCCAGGCAATCCCCATGACAGCCTGTTGCTAGATGAGTTCCTTAACAAATATTCAGATCTCCGCAGGAAGAATCTTAATGGAGTGCTCGTGGAGTAATTCCAGATTCCTCACCCTGTTATTCAAACCTTCCAGTGCTCTGGGCCCACCCTACTCCTGCCTCAGAGCTGGGTCATATGTGCTTCTCTTTAGTTATCCTTCCTCACGGTAGCCGTACACACTAGACATTTCCACACCACCTTCCGTCTTGCCTCCCTCCAGCTGTGACTTCACCTGCACACTTACACCTACCCCTCCTGAGGTCCTTGCTCAGATGCCCACACTCCCAGCAGAAATAAATTAAATTTTGCTGAAATTATTTGCCTTTCCTCCAAATCCTCCTTATGCTTTAGGTCATAGGTTAACGACATCAGTCCCTTCCTGCTAAGAGAGCGTGTAGAGAGGCTAGTGGGCATAGTTCTCGTAAGTATGAACTTGAACAGAATGCCTGCATTCAGACCTTGTCACCAACACCTTCAACTACCAGACCCTGGGCACATTACTTCAGTTCTGGGTGCCTCTCTTCTCTTCTATAAAAGTCCATAGGTAAAAAGTGTTGTGGGGACTAAATGGGCCTACATACATAAAACATGCTCAATGTAGTGTCTAGACTATAATAACTCCTATGTAATATTTCATATGAACATGTCATTACTTTCGTCATATTTTTAACATCTGTTCTGTGCATTTGTAACTTCTTTGAAGATCAAGTACACAGCTAATTTGTGTTTCGGGCTTCTAAATTCATTTCTGAATAAATAAATATTGAACTTGTCAATTAAAATAGCAATGATTGGTGAGTCCTAGGGGTTTTCAAATAGTTTATTTTCAAAATAACATTTTAAAAAACATCTAAATGATTGTTAAGAAAATGCTGTGATTTTTTTTCTATTTATAAAGTACATGAACATATAGAGACCCATGCCCTTCTATAATTCTACTTTTGGTTTAGAGATTAAAATATATAAGACATGAAAAAACTATATAGCCAAAAGAATAGATAGAAACTCAAAAGAAAGAATGGCTGGAAGGGTAGAAAATCATCCATGAAAACAATGGGGTGTAATTATAGTGCAATGAAAAACTGCAACTTTTTTTTCTTTATTAAACCAATCTTCACACAGCATAAATAAATGTTCCACAACAGATCTAGGGGAGGAGAGAGGGGAGGGAGAGGACTTCAAGGAGTAGAGGCTGAGGCCAGGTTGTACTGTATGAGATAAGAGAAAATAAAAAGACAGACATTCAGGCCAGCCAGGAGCTTACTATGTAGCCTAGGCTGAACTCAAATTCATGGGAGGGAGGAGGGAGGACAGGGAAATCCGTGGCTGATATGTAAAATTAAGTTAAATTATAAAATAAAAAACTAAGCCGGGCGGTGGTGGCGCACGCCTTTAATCCCAGCACTCGGGAGGCAGAGCCAGGCGGATCTCTGTGAGTTCGAGGCCAGCCTGGTCTACAAAGCGAGTTCCAGGAAAGGCGCAAAGCTACACAGAGAAACCCTGTCTCGAAAAACCAAAAAAAAAAAAAAAAAAAATAAAATAAAATAAAATAAAAAACTATATAAAAAAGGATGGAAGCCAATCCAGGGCTCACACCTGTAACTCCAGCACCTAGGAGGCTGGAGGCAGGAGAATAACTGTAACTTCTACAACAAAGAATAAAGTAACTTTCCTGTAGCATGATTCTTAAAGAGTCTTATTAATAAAATCAAACCCGGGGTCAGTTATTGGGGTGAAATGCTGGATGGTCAGAGAGACAGGGAAAGCCACAGCTCCCTCACCTCGCCGGATCCTCAGCTGGTCTTGTTTCCTCAGACTGGAGGCCTCTGAGTCCTCATCCAGAATGGGTCTCAGCTGAACTTCTGCTAGAAGCCTGAAAGCTTAACCAGCCAAATGCTTAACCAGCCAAATGCTGCTAGTTTCTGGTCCTCACACCTTATATACCTTTCTGCTTTCTACCACCACTCCCTGGGATTAAAGGCTTGTTTTCTGGGATTAAAGGTGTGATAAGTCACCTGCCTGTCTGTATCCTTGAACACATGGATTTCTGCCTCTGGAATGCTAGGATTAAAGGCATGTGCCACCACTGCCTATCCTTTATGTTTAATATTGTGGCTGCTCTGTCTCTGACCCCAGATAAGTTTATTAGCACGCACAATATTTGGGGGAACACAATACCACACTTTCCTACAAAAATTAGCCAATATTTACTGGGTAGTCTTTGCACTGGGTGCTATTTAACTACTTACCTCTCTGCCTACTCCCCGCAGAACTTACTGTACAATGGGAAGCTATCTGTAACTCAGAACTGAGTGCCCCCAGCAATCCACACTGACAGAATAATATAATCTCAAAATCCATTTCTAATGCTAATAGTTGAGATCTACATGTTATCATTTTTTTCTGCTCTGGTGTCTCTGGTGTCTAACCTTCCATTTCATTTTGCTGTGAGAAGAAACAAGGTGGTCCCCAAATCCCTTAGTCATGTATCAAGATCGCCCCAAGTTCTCTCTTCTGCATTTAGCATCAAATCCTTACTGAACAATGACACTTGCTTTGTAGAACTGTTAATTATCACTGCTTTCATATGCAAAGAAAATATTTCTAAAATTAATGAGATAGAATTTATTGTACAAATTTACAAAATTTTAAGTGGTTTTGTGTTTATATATTTTTTTCTGAACTCAAATCTTGTTCTTATAAATCTTAAAGGTAAGGCTTTATGTATATTCTCTCTCTCTCTCTCTCTCTCTCTCTCTCTCTCTCTCTCACACACACACACACACACACACACACACACACACACACACACACATACACACACATACACATACATACAGTAAGTTGGAAAATTAATAATACATTCTGTGTAAGTGAAAGAATAAAGTCAAAAGTTATTACTTGACTTCCAGAAGACACAACGTGGTGATGTCTTGGGTATGTGCCTACTTTCATCTTTGAAAAGTGTCTCCTTGAGATTTTTGTCTTATTCTTTTCCAATTCCCTAAAATATTCATTCTGTTTCTCAAATAGTTGAGAAATGGGATAGAGTTATAATTAATGTCATTTTAGAGACACAGAGGAGAGGGACTGTGTTTGTGCAGTGGTTGAGAGCAATGTTAGCTGCCTACATTAGACACACTTGTAGTTTAAAAAGCCAAAGGTGACACTCAGCCACCACCAGAATTTGTTATGATGGCCTTGACTTCAGCAGAATACGTTCATACCTGTTGATCCAACAGGTAATTGTGAGCCTCTCCTTGCAACATTGTTCATCCTTTAGCACTATCCAAGGCTCCCTGGCAGAGTCAGACCAGTTTTCCTATGAGTACTTGTGGAAATTTACACAGCAGTGTATGAAAGGCAGTGGAGCGTCTTGTACATGTCTTTTGTCTGTCCCATAGAACTGGTCACTTTTCTGTAGCCCCACTGAAGCTGCTCACGCACCTATTGTAGCTCCTGTATTATGTTAGTACAATCTTTGGCATACATGTCTCTCTCCTGCTTCTTTTTTGGCCTCAACAGCCTGTAGGAGAACATCTGGAATATTTCATTTCTGTGTCTTGAAACTCTGAAGTGAGATGCAAGGACTTAGTGAAGTCATTGGCTCACATTAAGTAGGAAAACCAGAGTGGCGGGTGGATTGTTGAGAGGTACAGTGTGGAAAACCTTGTCAGGGCTGCCTCACACAGGGAAAGGGCCTTTCTGGAAGCATGGGAGAGTGAGGAAGGCTGTAGTAGAGAAAGGCAGAGGAAAGCAGTCTGCAAGGCTACATTAAAAGGAAAGAGATATATGTTTGCATGCTACAGACTTGGATGCAGGTGATCAGAACTCCTTGAAATTAGATTTCAAGAATTTAGGCTTCACTGAAACCAACAGAGAGATGCCGTAGTTCTTCATTCTCAGTAATGTATTAAAAGAGCATTTAAAAGAACTATTTCAGTGAATGTATGCTTATGTCAAAATTAATTCATCTTAAGCACCCAGTTGAAAGGTGCTAACTATTGTGGTGCAGCAATTGATGCTGACGGTTTCTGTCTCATCCCACAGGTTGTAATACTGTACTTTGAGCCAAGTACATTCCGTTGTATTCTCCTAAGATGGGTCCGTCTTCTCGGGTTTGCCACTGTCTATGGAACTGTGACTCTCAAGCTTCACAGGTATGTTATGCTTCATCAGTCTTTATTCCCACAGAGGGACCAACTTGTTTGGCTTAGCAACTAATTATAAACTGAGCTGGCCATTATTCATGAGTGTAAATAGCAAGATGATTTACACACACATATTTCCCACATCCTGGTTAGTTCTTTTCTCCACTTGACAACAGCTAGTGTGATCTGGGAAGGGGAACCTCCACTGAAGAATTGCCTCCATTTAGATTAGCCCATAAGCAAGTCTGTAGGGGCATTTTCTTGATTGCGTGGGAGGGCCAGGACCATTGTGGGTGGTGGGTGCCACTCCTGAGCAGGTGGTGCTGAATTCTAGAAGAAAGAAGACCGAGGAAGCCACGAGGAGCGTGCCAGTAAGCAGCATTCCTCCATGGCCTCTGCATCAGTTCCTTTCTCCGGGTTCTTGACCTACTTGAGTCCCTGCCCTGCCTTCCCTCTGTGATGGACCTGTTTGCTGGAAGTGTCCGATGAGATAAACCCTTTCCCTCACAAGATGTTTTGGGTTTGTCATAGGTTTATCACAGCAATGGGAACCCAACTTAGACACCCTCTAGAGGTATTTGTTACATTCTTCGGGAATCTTTAAAGGATTGAACTCTTCATACAAGGTGCTTTAAGAAACTGTGTTTCTATTATAAGATGGAGTTGCTCTGAACAAAATAAAAACCATGACACTGTTGGGATGTTAACAGTGTTTACTATCTAAAACAGGATAGAGAGACAATCCAGCTGAAGTAATGGTTAGTGTCATTCCTATATGAAGTCAGCAATACACTCATTGTCCAAAAATGTTGTCTTCCTCCACACTTTCCATGCCCCAGGATAACCCTGCTGACATTCCAAGATAAAGTTATTTTTTTAATGGTTTTGCATAACAATTTGGAGACTCTTCCCTGGGGAAGACTAATTCTCCTGATCTAATAATTTCTTAGTTACCTGTAGTTATTTGTCTAGGGTTGGGATTTTTCCTTCCATGTTAGTATGCCTATTGATATCATCCTTGTTCAAATCAAAATTACACACATATAAGTAATATTATACAGACTAAATGGGTTGTATTTATATATTTTGGGGTATATTTTATATATATATATGTAATATATATACTTATTTATATTATATATATAACAACAATTAAAGAAAAAGAGACCATGAATTTGAGAGAGAGCAAGGGGGTTTTAGAGGGGTTTGAGGGAGGAAAATGATACATTTTTATTATTTAGAAGAATAAAAAAAGTATTTAAAAGTTATTTACCCATTCCTTCAGGGTTTATCAACCTTGAAAAATGGAGGATGCTGTAAGTTTCCTTACATTTAGTTCAAGGCCACCTAAATATGAAAATAGGACAATAAAATAAACTTCCTGCCCATGGTGCTAGGGGTGGCTGGAAATCCTAGGCCGTCCCTTCCCTCTTATCTGCAAGTTTAAAGAAAGCCTAGGTGAAGTTGTGCCAATGAGAAAAGGAGGGGACATGTCTGCAGGAAGATGCTGCAGCCCCTGGTGCTGAAGAGCATGAAGCAGTTCTGATGACCTCGGAACATCCTGCTCTGTACCCATCTGGCTATAAGTATTTCTTAGTCAAGGTGTTCTGCCATGGCTCATGCAAGGCTTACTTTTAATGCAATGATATGTGTTATGTTTCTTTAACTTCTTTCATTACAATCTTTTTGAAAATATGATAATGACTTTATCTCCCACACAAGACCACCCCTCCCTCCTACCTTCCTCTCTTCCTGTTTCCTCCATCTTTCTCTTCCTTCCTTCCTTTCTGGTACATAATTACTGAGAGTGATCCAGATAATCCATGACTCCCAGGATTCGTTTTGTATATATTCGGTGAAGTTAGAAACATTATGTTACTGGGTTTCAGGAAAGCAAATAGAAATGTGAATTTAGCTTCAAATGCTAAGAAATCACAGGCCTTTTTATCTGACAAAAGAAAAGAAAGACAGTTGGCATGCTCTTCCTGGCTCTCCCTTTACCTTGTCCGCACACTGTGATCTACTGTAATGCCCTCCGGGTTTCCATTTCATATAGAATTGCTATTTGTCAACTGGTGCTCACCAAAAGACACAAGACATCGGTGGCGATCTACAGTAAGTAGTAAACATTCTAGAGTTCTGAAAGAAGTGCTGTGACTTGATCAAGACCTCACTTGCTACCAGACTCCTACTTAGTGTCTGCGATAATCTTTTCACTGCTTTATCATTTTTTAAATTTAGTGGTAGTATTCATTGTAATTTATCTTCTTCTTGAAGTGAGTGAAAGTCTAGCCATTGAATCCCAGGCGGTCCTGGGACCTACATGTTAGAAGTGCTTAACTCATTAGTAGATGAAAGAAAAAAATGAATGGATGAATGAATGAATGAATGAATGAATGAATGAATGAAAAAGTCAGTTACAGATCTCTAAACTGTTTCCCATGGTTCATTCATATTCCCTGACTCACCATACAATACCTCAGGGTGACCCAAGTACTTGGAATACATAACACTGTGGCCTGCAGAAAGATATTTGATGCAGTTTGAGGACGTCGTTAAATAGCACCAAATCACAAAGTGAGAAGATTATTTCCATTCAGGTTCCCTTTCAGTCCTCCTGACTATTTCCAGGAGAAGGGTTAGCTTGGAGCATCTCGGTTTTTCTTAGCACCTGTCACACTGATGTTCGTCTTTGTCTGGAAGAGCGCAGACCAACCTTCCGGCTTGGAGCTGTTCATTGAAGTGCCATGTCCTTAAGAGTCATCATTCTGTTCTGCTGTATTTACTTCAGTAGCTGCTGATAATTTATGGAAACTATTAGCTAGGTTTTTCCTTTATAGTAACACTATGAAATTTCCTTTAAAATACTTTAAAAGCAACAAATGGGAACTGATTTAAAGAGGATATTAACTGATTCTGATACAGCAACAACCTTGAGGGCATATGAAATAATTGGAACTTTGGAAACTGGTTTCTTTAATTTGCTTATTTTAAAGACTGGAATGGAAGCTATTTCCTCGGTGAGTCTCTACAAATCACTGCAATGAAGGAGAATTAGTTTGCTGAAGGCTTAAAACTGGTAGAAACTTTTTCTAAGTTAATGAGTAAAATTACTCTAATCCTGTATGAATTTCATGGCCTTACTCTTGTATTCATTTTTTTTTTCTTTATTGCCTTAATGTAACCGACTATAGTATTGTTCATCCATAAACTGAGCTATTAGCATTCCTAGAAAAACATGAGCACTCTAAGAGTATGACTGGCTATTCCAGGTCTGTGCTCCTGCTCGAGTGCTGGGACAAAACACCATGACCCAAAATTACTTGGTGGAGATGGTAGTCATTTACTTACCCTTCCTCCTCATCACTGTTTATTCATAAAGAAGACGAGGCAAGGCAGGAATTCAAGCAGGAGCAGAGGCAGAAACCACAAAGGAATGTTGTTAACTGACTTGCTTCTCCAGACCACACCCAGCTATTTATTTTATGCAACCTAGGCCCACCTGCCCATGCTTGGTGCTGTCCACAGTGGGCTGGGTCCTCTCACATCAATCATGAATCAAGACAATGTCCCTAAAGACATACCCATAGGGCAATCTGATGGATTCGATTCCTCAGCTGAGGTTCCTTCTTCTCCAATGTCTCTTGTTTGTGTCAACATGACAAAACTTAACCAGCACAGCTCCCATCTTCAATGATGTGCTGTATCTGTTGGGTGGTGGGTGGTGGGTGCACTGCATTTGATACACTGCATTTGCTGGTGGTGGACTCACTGTATTTGATATATCGCATTGGTTGGATGGTTGTGTTGGGTGTAATGTATTTGATGTACTGCATTTGTTGAAGTGGGTAGTTTTAGTGAATGGAGCTTCAGTAGACACTTTCTGACTGGATTTGAGTCAAGAAAGGACCTCTTTTATGATACAATGGAGAAGAGTGGCATAAATCTTGATAATTCTAAATTTGAATTTTAGCTCTTCCATTATCTACTTACACAATCAAAACCTGTAGTTGGAATTTTCTTTGGGCCGCTAACCAGCTTCCCAAATAAAGACATGGATACTTATTAATTATGAATGCTCGGTCTTAGCTTAGGCTTGTCCCACTAACTCTTTTAATTTAATTTAACCTGTTTCTATTCATCTATGTTTTGCTTCGGGGCTTTTTTTTTTTTTAATCTTTCTTTCATTGTCTATGTCCTACTTTCCTTCTTCTGTGTCTGGCTGGCTGGACCCTGGTGTCCTCCTGTCATCTCCTTTTCTTTTTCCCTCCTCAGCCTAAATTCCTCCTCCTACTTACTCTCCCTGCTTGCAAGTCCCACCTGTACCTCCTCCCTCACTATTGGCCATTCTGCTTTTTATTAGACCAATTAAGTGCCTTAGGCAGGTAAGGTAAAACAGCAACACATCTTTACATAATTAAATAAATATTCCACAAAAAACAAAATAATTTTAACATCTAAAAATTAGTTTTATCATCTATAAATTGTCACCTCACCTGTGAGATTATAAGGATGGCATAGAATTTGAATATGTCAGGTTGAAGTTTTTAGTTGTAAGCCACAGAAACTGAGTGTGGGAAAATTAAACTAAAGGGTAGATCATTGGAACAATATGAGAAAGAACATAGAATTAAAGGGAAAGGCAGAAAGCCAGACCCCAGGAGGACCCTGTCCAGGATTTTAAAGGTCAAAATAGTCTGTGCTGGGGGACAGCATATCCTGAACGTCATAGCCTCATTCTCATGGGAACTTCATTTTCATATCTAGATTCTCTTTTTTTTAACACAAGGAAAATAAAATCATGCTTCTGTAAACAGAACGTTCTAGAAAATTGTGAGTATGGTTATATGAAATGACTTTGTAGACTTTGGAACACAGGGTAAGCAAGAAAGACCCACAGTTGCTTCTCAGCTTTTTCCCTCAAGGGTTCAGCATTTCCTTCTCCATTGCCTGCTCTCTTGCTGACTGATGTCATATCTATAGAGTCTCTAGAGCACCAACTACTTGAA